CCCCAAAGCCCCAGTAGATAGGTGTATGTCATAGTTGCACATCCTTCTAGTTGCTGTATGTGGGACGCGGCCTCAGCATGGCCAGAGAAGCGGTGTGTCGGTGTGCGCCTGGGATCCGAACCTGGGCCGCCAGTAGGGGAGCGTGCGCACTTAACCGCTAAGCCACCAGGCTGGCCCCTCCATTACCTTCTTAACCTTTGTAGCTGTAGTAATTTCATTGAGTGTATTTTCTACTTCAGTCTAAGAAGATGGCATATTTTATTTGTAATAAGGGCACTGTTTCTTCTTTGTTAGAAATAGAACCCACCACCTTTTTATTTATTTATTTTTTTAATTTTTATTTATTTATTTATTTATTTTCTCCCCCCAAAGCCCCAGTAGATAGTTGTATGTCATAGCTGCACATCCTTCTAGTTGCTGTATGTGGGATGCGGCCTCAGCGTGGCCGGAGAAGCGGTGCGTCGGTGCGCGCCCGGGATCGAACCCCGGGCCGCCAGCAGCGGAGTGCGCACACTTAACCACTAAGCCACAGGGCCAGCCCTCACCACCTTTTTAACTGTTGAAGCAGCAGTATAAATCTCAACTGTGAAACCATGGCCAGAGTTACTGGCAAAGAGACCAGCAGGTGGGGAGTAACCCTTAAATCATGTAGAAAAAAATGCATGAGTTCCTCCAGTTTTGTCATTTGGCCTTGAGTCTAGCTCAGAACAGCATAAGGGATGGAATTTGGGACAGCCTTTCCATGCCACCTGCTAGGCTAGGCCTAACAGTGTAAAGTTCAGAGCTTACACACTTGTGTTCCTTAGCATATGTGAACTTAATTTCGGTTTAAGGCCCCTTGCCTGTAGAACTAGCTAAAAAACACAGTAAAGGACCAAGTAATTGTTTTGCCCCTGATATCTAAAAGGTTTATATAGGGAAAGACTTCCCTACAGTCACATCTGTGCCTCAGCAGGGCCTGCTCCCTGAGATCTCTCTGCTTCTTAGGGTCTCCAGATGCCCCACAAGGGAAGGCAGTGTGTCTGTGCTAAGGCCAAGGCCAGTGTTGGTATAGTTAGGTGTCAGACTGTAACCAGCTGTGCTCTAAGGCCCAGACCTTAGCCCTTCCATACTAAAACCATAGTCCGTGCATAGGGACAGTGCCTTTGCTGAACCATGTGACTGGCATTTGGCTAAGGTTCTTATTCATCCCTGCCTGTATATAAAATCAGATTTATAAAAACACTTGCCTGTGAACAAAGTGGCCAACATTCAACATGGCCAACTTGAAAAGTGTTTGAAATGCCTCAAGTATTGGTCCCATCATAGCCTCAACTTACTTGTAATCCCCACGTTCCTCACCGTTTTTTACATTCTCTGCCAAATCATCAGATGCTAACATTCTTTTGAATAAAACTCATCCCTCCCCTTGCCAAAGGGCAGAGCCTTCTGTAAAACTTCCAACACAGAGCAGCAGAACCTGTGGGCACCTGTTTCCCAAAATAAGGGACGGAAGAAGGGGCCGAGCTACACTTGCCTGGCTCTCTGTTCCTGAAGCTTGAGCCAGGAGGGAAGAGGTGCAGCAAAGGCCAGGAGTGTTTAGGGGAAATCCTTCCTTGTGGACCCAGGGAATTAGGCCAAGAAGCGTTTGCTTTCTAATAGAGTTGGAAATAACTCATTTGAGCCTGTGAGTTTGGAATAACGGTAGGACATTCAAGCAGAACTAGCTTGTTGGATAAGGTTAGGTTTGGGAGTTGTCAAAGTGGTGGTAGTAAAAAATATGTCAGTGAAGAACTGACCATGGGAGAGAATG